ATATTGAAATTCTTCCAATCTCCTGGATAGAGCCTGAAACTTGCTCCATCTTGAAATGGAAATGGGAACCAAGCTAGTATCTTCCAGGCCATGTGCCAGTGGCTTTATACACATCATCTACAGGCGCCATTACTGCCTTTTTTCTCAGATGAGCAGATGGGAGCTCAGACAGGTTCAGTAAGTGGACCAAGGTACACAACCTGAAAGACACATTCCTTTAGCATATCTGACGGTAGAACCAATGTTCTGTGATTTTTGACCCTTCATCTCCCTCTGCCACTATGACATGGCATATTTGAACCCTGTCCGGCACTGTCAGCAGCTGTTGGGATGTCTGGCCCAATCTTCACCAAGTGTTGGAAATTCTCCAACCCAAAATCTGGCCTTGGGCAGATGTGAGCTGATGAGAGCAACCAGTGGTTATATGGGGCCCTCATTCTGCTTCTTATCACCTGAGCTACGAAGAGGCCAGAGCACCCTAAATATAAAAATATTTCTTGTGTAGTGATTGTATTAGTTACAATAAACAGCAGCTATTTTCATTATTTGTTTACTATATTATTTGTTATTTGCCTCCCTGAACTTTTGGAACTTAAAAGGAAAGGTATAAGTTGGGATAAATTTTGGAAACATACATCATAGGGAAGGGAAAGGAGAAATGTCTAAGACCTAAAATGAAAAGAATGTGCTCAGTGGCCAGTGAGGTGTTTTATTGACAACTCTACTGTTATGGTTTAGATTTAAAATGTCCCCCCAAAGTGTCATATATTCAAAGTTGAGGCTTTTGAAAGGTGATTGGTTAACATTTACTGAAAAGATTAGTATTTTAAAAAAGCCAAATGGTTTAGATAGCTTGAAAGCATCTCAAAAATCAGCAAGAGCCTACCCATCTTAGGCTCAAAGGTACAGAAGCATAAAGCTTTCATTTGAGAAGAGAGCTCTTGGGCCCCCTCCTGGCTTGAGAAGGGCCACCTTAGGAATTGGTTCCCTAGGATTCATTTTACTGTGCTCAGCCATCCAGGCACTCAGAGGCCACTGCAGCCATAGTCCAAGGGGGACCAACTACTTCTCAGACCAGCAGCAGACCTTGGCATCATCCATAGAAAGGACTGGGGGGCTAGCCAAAGAGTATTGAGAGGGCAGTGTATGAAGCTGTGTGAGAGAAGTTGAAGGTGCAGTGGATACCTGAGGAAGTTAGAGATGCCAAGAATGTGGAAAGTCTGCTGAGGAAGGCTGTAGGCAGGAAGTGGAGCCAGCCCAAGAGGGAGGCCATATAGGCTGAAGCATGCAAAGCCATAGAGGTAGGGCTGCCCAATTTCTTTGATGCTCACATCTTACCACAGATCGTCTCATGCAGCTATGGGATTTAATGTTTTCCCCACTGGCTTTTGGTCTTGCTTTGATCTGATTTATGTCTATTTCCCTATTCCTCCCTATGGAATGGGAATGTTTCCCTGTGCCATTGCATGTTGGAAGTGGTTAACTTCCCTTTGGATTTTTACAGGAGCTCACAGCTAAGAGTTTGCTTTTCATCTCAGAGAAGGCTTTTGATTTGGAGTTTTCAGCAATGCTGGAACTGTTGACTTTGGCAACTCTTAGGGATGGACCAAACGCATTTCACACATGAGATGGATATAAACCTTCTGAGATGCAGGGGTGGAATGTCAGAGTTTAGATTAAAATGTTTCCCAAAAGTCTCCTGTATTTAGAGGTGGGGCTTTTGGAAGGTGGGTTTTTGGGGTGCTGTACCCATCAGAGGACTCATCATTGATGAGTGCAGTAGCTGAATGTGCTGTTAGGAGGTGGGGGCTGGTGGGAGGTGGGCCGCGTGAGAGCGTGACTTGAGCATATATTTTTCTCCCCCAGATCCTCCCCCTGCCTGTTCTGCTTCCTGGCTGCCATGAAGCGAGCAGCCTTTTCCAACCAAGGTTTTGCCTTGGAATAAGCTCACTTTGGATGGAACCCACTGGAAACCATGAGCTAAGTAAACCTTTTCTCCTTTAAGTTGTGGGTGTTGGGTATTTTGTCCCAGTGATGACAAAGTGACTAATACAGCTACCATCAGAAGCTTTGTAGGCTACTTCTAAATTCTCTGAGTCTCTCAGGAAGCAGGTAAAATTCCCAACATCTCATAGAAGCTTGTGTTGGCATCATGTAGGAAACAGCTCAGAGAGTGGTCACCAAATAGCTGAGTGGTGGTCACCAAACTTGGAACTTTTGCTATTCTAGGGGTAATGAGAGTGGAGGAAGAGTGGGTGGCAGCTAGTGGTCTTTCTGAATTTCTAGAGAGCCATGTTGGCTGTGATCAACCCCTTCCCAGAAGTCCACTCCCCTGCAGTTAGTGGCTGACCGTGATCTAAATACTTACTACAATGAGGAGGAATCTTATCAAGCTTTGTCTATGACAAGAGGCCAGAGGGGTGGCAGGGCTACTTCCCCATAATTCATCTTGCTGCTGTCCCTGGTGACCTAGATATTCCCCATCTATCCCCCTGGCCATACACTTACCACCCTTTTCTGCCCTGGGTCCTGGGAGGATGACCTCTACATTTTATAGATGAACTACTACTTTTATTTATTTATTTATTTATTTGGTTTTTCTCCGGTACTGGGAACTGAACTCGCGACCTTGCGCTTGCCAGGCAGGCGCTTTTGCCGCTGAACTAAATCCCCAGCCCCGAACTACTACTTTTAAATAACCAGCATTAGAAGGAGTTTAGTCTGCTGCTATTTCATGTAACAATGCACATGCACACACACACATGCATGCATGAGTGTGCTTGTAGCAAGCATTATCTTTTAAGAATATTAGTGTCTTAAGCAGGGCATGTGGCACACACTTGTAATCCCAGCACTTAGGAGGCTGAGGCAGGAGGACTGTTACAAGGTCAAGGCCAGTCTGGGTTGTAAAGTGAGGAAGCTCAAGGTCAGCTTGAACTGCATAGAGAGACCCTGTCTCAAAAAGACAAAAAAAAAAAAAAAAAAAAAAAAAAATTATTTTCTTGTTTTAGCAAGGGGGGTGAGGGAAGTAGCAATCTAGGATAGGAGGGACACTTATATATCAATATAAATATATATATATATATATATATATATACACATACATACACACACACATACACATATATATAGTTATACTTTATGGTGTGCAGGTAATTATTTTTCTACTAAATTTTTGTTTGTTTGTTTGGTTTTTGTTTTTCTTCCAGTACCGAGAATCAAACTCATGACCTTGTGCTTGCCAGGCAGACGCTGTGCCACTGAGCTAAATCCCCAGCCCCCTTTACTAAATTTTGAAAGTGAGAAAGAGGGAGACAGAAGGAGAAAGATAGAAAGAGGTTATTTCAGGGTTGCTGATCAATCAGGGCCCTTATATTCAAACATTGAACTTGCACTGCTATCTCTTCCTTCCTCATATTTAAGTGAACCATTGCCTGCCCTTTGATAAGATTTTGCAGTCTCTCCAAGAATTTCCCCATGCCCCAAGATTCACAGAAGGCAGAGTAACCTGGCTTCAGGGGCTAATGCAATGGTGATCTACCCCAGTCCCTAGCAGACCTGGCCTGTTTACGTTTATCCCGTGAAGAGGCAGCAACAGCAGCAATTTTCAGAGCTTCTCTCTTGGGTGTTGAAGAAGTGATTTGGGCAGTGAGGTTCCCAAGAAGCTGAGACTTCCTCAGGAGATGTGGTGCCTTGCCTTGATGATCTCAAAACTGTATAGTGCAGACATGGAAATTATTGAAGGAATACATGAATGATGGATAAAGGGACCAGCTATACAAATGAGCATTTTATGTAAGCCCCCAAGCACCCTGGTGCAAGAAGATAATGGGAAAGTCTGGGTGGGATGTGGGTTTATCTAATCTCATTCTCTAACGTTACAGATGCTTGTTACAATGAATTTCAACATTGAAGGAAGAAGGAATGATGGTGAAGATTACTTACTTATTCCACAAACCTTTATGGAGTCTGTGCTGATGATAAAAAACACTCACAGCTCTACCCAGGGGTCTAATAGGCCTGTGTGGGCTACTCTGGGAACTTGAGCCTCATGGTGATGTAAATAACAAGGCCAAGAGAAAGTTGACTTGGAAGATTCATGAACTTTAAACTTATGAAAGGATTTGACTTCAACTTGATTCCAAAGACGGGAGGTGTTGATGAACTTGATTTCAGGATAAGTCGCTATTCTTTTAACTGTGTGCCCCGATTCTTTTCACTTTTTGAATAACCAAGCTTCCCCTGACCAAATAGCACTCCTCTGTTTCTGATTTTCAAAGGAAAATCAAGCCAGCTGATAGGATTTCCTTAACTTGAAGTTTTTCCTCCCTTGAAGGTTTCTTAAATGCTTGTCACCATCTATGCCTTATTCATTGTAGAATTCTTTTTTATAACACAATAGCTAACTGATTTAGCAGAAATTTGAATGGTAGTTGTTTTTCTTGCCTGTGAAATGAAAAAATGGAGCTGCTCACTCAGGGATCTTTAGGATGGCCTCTGTGCCAGCGTACCATGCTCTGCTGTTGTTAGGGGCCATTGGGGTTACGTTTGACTGGGCTGCTGGGCCTCTGCTGGGATCCAGGGCAAAGCTGGTCAGCCAGGACCTATAGCTTGGAATCTCTATGATCTAACATCTGCTCCCTGCTGCCCTTTCCTCAGGAATTAGGAGCAACTCTGAGTTTTTTTGTGTGTTGCACATTGTCGTGGTTACTTTTCTTTCATTGCTGAGACAAAATTCCTGACACCCAAAATTAAGGAAGGAAAGGTTTATTTAGCTCACAGTTTGTGGAGGTTTCAGTCCATACTTGGCTGGCTCCAAGGCAGGGTGGCACATGGCAGAGGGCAACAGTTCATGGCTGCTGAAGATAGCAAAAGGGAGGAATGGAGACAAGCAGCCTTTATTTCTCCCTTACATATGCAAAACTATCTGCCCCAGGGCAGGTGTAGCTCTCACACCCATAATCAATCAAACTCTAAAAGCCCGCCCCATGACAGCATGAGGCTTTAGCGGGGGAACACCCGGACACAAACCGTAACACACATCTTTGTGAAAGTCTAGCTATTTCCAAAATCAGGTATGGCAGCATCCTCCCCTTTTCTCTTCTACTTTTCACAGAGGAAATACAAAAAATGGCTGAGAGAAAAGTCCCGTATATTAGGGTATCAACTGAACATGGAACTTTCTCATAGATGAGTGAGTTGATGAAGGAACCAAAATCTATCAAGATAATGAAGCTACACTGTGAAGGTCAGACTGAGGCAGAGAAGGATGATTAGGCTTCCCTGCCTTGAGTTCTGCTCACTAATTTCCCGAGCTGATTTCCCTTTTAAACACCAGCAGAACTGCCACTGTTTAGATTTTCCTTGGAGCAGATGTGTAGTTAAATGTTGAGGCACAAAAAACTTTTAATAAATAATAATGACATCATCAGCTAACATCTACTGGGCTTTTATGACAAATCATAATTGGAGGGTTCACTATAGTGGGGAGAAAGAGAGGGAGAGAGAGAGAGACAGAGACAGAGAGACAGAGAAAGAGACAGAGTGAGGCAAGGGCAGCGAGTGCATGTGCTAAGTCACACGCCTTTTTTGCCTTCTCGATTCTAAATTTGAAAATCTTTCTGGAAAGATTTCTCTTAGTTTTGTTTCTGGAACAATAATGATCTCACCGGTAGCAACAACACCGCAATTAGCTCATCACTCTTCTCCCCTTTAGAAGTTGACATTAACTGGGAACTCTGTCGAATGTCTAATTTTGAGACAGTTTCAACTGTTCCCAGGGAGCTTGTGCGCACCTGTGAGAGTGAAGAAAGCCGCCCCCGCCAGCCTCCCAGCATGGGGAAGAGGACCACACTTGGCCCAGCAGACACTGGTGAGCAGCGCCTTGGCCCGGTACTGGTTGTGAGCTTCCCACATGACCATTTCGCACTGAAAAAGCGTTTGCACACAGAAACAAGGTTGGTAAAGGCGATTCAGTTATCTGACCAACCCATAAAGCACACGGAATGCTCACCAAGAAGGATATTTTAGTGTCACGCAGTCAGTGATTTGGGGAGTACTGCCTTGTGGTATGAACGTGAGCTTGTGTGTATGACATCTCAATTAAAATAGCAAATGGTACAGAGCAGTGCAAAGATGACAACAGCATCACATGTTAGGAATACTCCAAGTTAACTAGGTAAATGTTTGTTGATAACTTGGCTACCTAACCTTCAATGTGGCAGAGATAGAAGGCTGGCCTTGAGTATGTAGCATGTGCTTGGCACATCTCTGAAAGTTATCCCAATATAATCCTGATTTAATTGCAAAAAGCCTCTAGCTAGAAAGGAGGTAGAATGTAGATACAGGAAGGGTTAGAGCCTAACTGATTAATAAAGTAAAAATTATATGGACTCAAAATTTGCTTTGAAAAATCTCCTATATCACACATAAAGATATGCATGGCTTTGTGATAACCTTGAATAGTAATAAGACATATGATACATATATTAATATATCATATGTTATAGAACTCAAAGGGAAGATGTTATTTCATTTTAATTTTTGTGGCCCTAGGGATTGAACCCAGGGCCTTCACACTGAGCTATATCCTCAGCTCTTTTTTATTCTTTCTTTCTTTCTTTTTTTTTTTTTACTTGAGACAGGGTCTTGCTAAATTGCTATGTTTATTCCAATTCATGAGCGTCTTGCCCCAGCCTCTGAGAGCACTGGGGTTGCAGGCTTGCACTTTCACACCACTGAGAGCATGTAAATTTGGACATGAAGTCAATGAGCTTATGTGTAGGGGACCATATATAATAAATAAATATTGAAAATTTCCTAACTGGATATACAGACTGAATTTATACACTTGAATTTGCTTAAGTTCATAACCCATTATGTTAGCCCAAATTTAACAATAAGGGAACTAAACTTTAAAAAGTTAAGTAGCTTGTTCAAGGAAGTGGAGCTGTTAAATAGTAGAGTATTGTTTGAACCTAGACTTTCTGATTCCAGGGCCTCTGTCTTCCAAAATACGTTCTGACTTCTAAATCATTGCCCAGAACATGACACTTAGAAGAACAGTCATGAGTTAGGATTTGCCTACTTCATAAGATGTGTAATATGTTTCATATAGTATCTGTATATACATAAGCACATGGCTATGTGATTAGTATGCATAAAACAAACTCACAAATCTGGAACATAGTAGGAATTGAATTAATCCATTCAAATGGCAAAATAAGAAATGCAAAAGAACAGTGGAACGCTAGTCATTCAGTTACCTCTTAGCAAATACTTAGTGTGTATTTCCAACAACTTTCACTCGACATACGCATTGCCTAAAGCTAAAAGCTGGACATCGGACAGACACAGAGACACTGATCCATATATGTATAAATTTGGATTGTTGTCATATACTTAAAATCCCCAACAACACAGATATACACATTGTCCATCCATCCACTAATCTATCCAGTGGGAGATGCACCATGTATCTACCATTATAACCGCAAGTTTTGCACATTAAAAATTAAAAAACATGTCAGTAATTTTGGAATTTATACTAATTTCCAAGTAGTGTCAGAAATGTTTCTTATTAAGAAAAATGTTAGAAGTGCCCTACTCCAGAACTTTTATGATGTCCTTTTGCATTGTAGGTCTGTTATATATGATCATCTTTTCATTAGCAAATCTCATCTGAATTATTAATAAAATTTTTAAAACTGCTACATTTCTTCAGATAAGTACAATGACATTTCTTTCAAAAGAGAATGAGTCAGATTTTTCATTAATTGGGGAAGAACTTTACCCTTGTTGCAATAATTGGCAATGTTTGCTCTGTATTTTATTTGTGAACAACAAAGGCCAAAACTTTGCAGTCTGTAGCATCCTCATTTGATTTCAAAGTACACTGATTAGGGGTCAGAAACATCGGGGTGGGTACCACCCATAGGCGATGAATGCGACGGTGTCAATGTTACCTGTTGTGTTAAAGCCAAAGAGGAGAGGGCAGGACACAGCAAACGCCAGTACCCAGACAGCTGTAATCATGAGGGCCACACGCCGGCAAGAGCCCTGGCCCGTGCCATGTTGATAGTGAACTGGCATGACCACCGCAGTGTACCTGTAAGAGGAAGTGACAGAAGGTAGACGCAATAAGATAGGCCGGGGACTGTTTAAAAGGCAAGTTGGGGGCCAGAGATATAGCTCAGCGGTGCAGCACCCGCCTGATAAGTGTGAGGTCCTGAGTTCGATTCCTGGTACCGCCCCTCCCCAAAACTGAATAATAAAAGGCAAGTTGAAGAAGGTTACTAGAGAAAGGATCAGGTTGGTACTTTGGCAGGAGATAGATGATTTAATTGGAGAAAGGGAGAAAAGTGTTTGTGTAAAAATGGTAGAAAGGTTGAGAATGGAGAGTCGAGAAACTCTCTGAAAAGGATGAGCAAAGGGAGGAAGAATTAAAATGCAGCACCAGCGGGGGGCTGGGGCGTTTCTGCCTGACTGTCCAGAGTAAGCAGCCTTGCAGCCTTCACTCTGAAGACTCTGGCGCTGGCCTTCCAGACAATAGCAGAACTGTACCCAAAGAGGTTTACTCCTCGGCTGCATCCTAACGAAAATCCTAACCCTCAGTGTGACAGCATTCTGAGGAGACAAGGGTTTGCAAACAGAGTTGAGGCTTATTTTAGAATCATGCCAACAGGAGATCCCTCACTCCCCTTGGGTATTGTTCCATGTCCTACGGGAATTTCTCACATGCGTTTCCACCTGCCGTGGGACTTACCTGGACAACTCTTCCACGGCTCTCTCAAACGTAAGATGTCTGGAACAGATGCCGCTAGCTCCTGACAACTCTTAACCTAGCTCCACTTTCTGTCCTCTTGAAGACATTCATCCTCAATACTCAGGCCTTGTGACTTGCCTAAAATTTTGCCAGCCAGCTCCGGCTAGTCATTCTCAGTTGGTCCTAGCAGATCACCGAGAGTGGCATGTTCTCCGAAATATGTTTTACTGTTCGGCAACTTCTTGCAGGCCCAGCAAACACAGGGAGCTCTGGGCTCCATTTTATAAATGAGGCATCAGAGATAAGGAGTCCAGCAAAGGTGTGGGTGGTGCGGAGCCAGGTCTCTCACCTCACCAGCCAGTGTCTCTCTGAGGGTGTCCGCTCCTTCTCAAGGTCATGGGTAGGTCTCTGACACCTGCAGGGGTTAAGGGAGTGCCCAGGAAAGTTGGAGTGGAAACGGTGGTTTGTACTTGGGGAACACTGTGGGTGCCAGAGAACAGCTTCCTTTCCTTAATTAGCTCGGTTCTGTTAATTGCTCTGTGTGTGTCCTATTAAAATGAAGATTATTGGGCCACGTCTCTGAGATTTTGATTAGGTGCTTTTCAGTGGAACCCAGAAATGTGCATTTTGAACAAGCAAGTGCATTTTCTTAGCTAAGCTTGAGAAAATCTTCCGTCGGCAACATTTCTGTCAAAGGCTCCTGTTAACTTGGGTGAGAAGTGAGAGACGAGACTAGGAAGTACCACTTTCACATTACACTTTTTCTTTTTTAAAAAAACATGCTCAAACTGTTAAGAGGAAATGAGTCCCGCTCCCATCCCCCCGCTTGCCGTGGGTGAGCGAGGCGTGGAGCTGTCCCAGCATCCGCCAGCGGAGGGCACCATAATGCAGCGAGAGCCCCGCCAGCTCCGCCGGGGTGAGAAGTTCACGGCTCACCCGGGGGCTGTTCAGGCTCTGGGAGGAGGCAGAGAGGGAAAACCCTGCCCCTTGCTTCCTGGAGCCCTGCAGGGACCCCGAATTCCCACCCCAGCCGATGTTTAGCCTCTGGTTTCCTCTCCAGCGATTGCAGATGACTGAGAGCAGGCGAGCACCGCGAGGGCCGGCTCGGCTGGGGCGCAGAGGAGCCTTGGACCGGGGCCACCTCGCAAGCCCGCCCGCGGTGGACCTGGGGTCTCCCGCTGTGCTGGAGATGCGAGCTCCCTGGGGCCTCCGGGGAGGATTTCTCCACAGACCCGGACGCTGGCAGTGTGCGCGGCGTGAATCCGTGGGCTTTGGAGATGGACCTGTGGAATCCCAGCTCTGCCACTTAGCTGAGTGGCTGTGGGCCAGTAGCTTGACTTTTCTGACTCAATTTCCTAGTCTCTACAATGGGGACAACGGTACCCGCCCTACAGGAATATTAACAAATACTGAATGAGGTTACTTCTTCAGCGCAACGACTAGTGCGAATTCTACACTCAAATGTCAGGATTATTACGGATGTTGTTATTGTCATTGTTTTTGTGCTAGCCCAAGGGACCAGCGGTTGTTCGTTTCAGCGAGTGTGTGATCGTCTTCCTCCTGGTTCTCAGGGAACGTTCAGTTTATTTATTTATCAAACAAACAAGAGTCCAGCATTTTCCGTGTGCCAGGCACTGTTGCAAGTGCCTTACAAATAGTGATTCACTGAGTTCTAGCACTCTTTGGGGCTGTTGCTGTTATGTTTACTTGACAGATATGGAAACGGAGACCCTGGTTCATTGACTTAGCTGGAGTCACTTGGCCTTTCGGTGCCAGAAGCTGAACTTTTGGCCAGGCACTGTGGCTGAGAGTGAAGCCCACAGCTCAGTGCCTGAGGAGGGCGGGGTGTATGGTAGAAAGGCCCACGGCGTCCTTTCTCCTGCACTATTGTCCGTGCCATCGCGGCCAGCTTATCTACACTGTGGAGACAACACATCCACCTTGCTGGTAGTTGTGAGATTAATGGTAATGAGTGAACAGCTGTGAGAGCCTGGCATACAGTACACGCTAAATAAATGGTAGCTATTTTTCATTGTTCTTGTGGCTTCTAGACAAATGTCAAGTTAGTTTTAGCTCAAGTATAGCTGGGACACAAAGCCTCGCCCTGC